ATATTGTATCATTTGTAAAGAAATGGACAGACTTGGGAAAAATCATGTTGAGTGAAGTTACTCAGTCCCAGAGAGACAAATGATGCATGTTTTCCTTTCTATGTAGAAGCTAGATTTAGCTTATAAACTTATGAATAAATATGTTTGGTGGTACTCAAGTGTGAACATATGTATTCACTGAAGTATGCTAGATTCAATGGAGGACTCAAATAGTGTAATTCCGTAAAAAGGCAAAGGCAAAGTTCTGCAAAATAAACACCAGGAAGTGGGTATTCAAAAGGGGTTGATGGGAAAGGGGAGGACAAATGAAGAGGAAAATAGAGAGAATGCAGGCAAGAATCCAATATCTATCCTACACAATTAAGAACGGTGAGGGAACAGATGGGTAAGGGAGGGATGGGTAAGAATATTGAAAGGGGTGACATTGATCAAGATGTGTTATATTCATAAACTGCTTTGTTAAATGACAACTCCTTTTTACACCTACTTAAAGATAATTAAAATGTAACTAAATGTGAAAAAATAGAGGTACACAGAGGGGGCATGCATGGATGCTGTACAAATGCTGCATTATTTTGTATAAGGACCTTGGGCATCCATGAATTTTGAGTCCTTCGTATACTAAGGGACAACTGTGTTTTCAGGGAGTGGAACATGTAACTGTGGAAACTAGCTAGTCCCAAATCACCAGGAAATGCAGGCATCCTGGAGCCACAAGGAAGAAGAGCTGTGGCAGTTTTTGAGTGTGTATTTCCCTCTACTTCAGGGGAAGTCAGTCTGTTTGTTAATACCTTCAACTGATTGGATGAAGCCCCCTACATTAAAACACAGTCTGCTTTAATTGAAGTCTGCTGATTTAAATGTTAATCTCATGAAAGATTTACCTTAACAGGGCCAATGTCTTACTAACTTTCCAGGTACTGTGGCACATCCAAGTTGATACATAAAATCAACCATCACAGGGACCACTTCCCCTCAACCATAAAGGTGACACCTCCCCATTCGCTCTGTGTCTCCCCAGCACTTGAGCTCAGGGAAAAGGAGCAAAGGGACAACCCAAGAACTTGTTTGACTTTCAGGAGTTACTTTGAAATCATAGGATTCTTTTTCTTGCTTTGAAAGCAAACAGCAGATTTGGGGAGGATCTCTATGTACATATGATTTTGTAGCATTCTCTGTGATGTTCGTTAAGTAAAGACCAAAAAGGAGTGTGAGAATTTTTGTAGCTCCCCCTGTTTAGTTCAAAATTTATAAAGTAGCATCTAAAGCATATTTTTCACCTTGTTAAAAAACCCAATACAAACGATAGGCATTGAAGATCACTGAAGTTATTATTTTCCTTTTTTTAAATGCCAATACGAAGGCTTGAACTCAGGGCCTGGGTGCTGTCCTTAGTTTTTTGTTTTTTGTTTTTTTGGTGCTGTACCACTTGGTCTATATTTCCACTTATAGCTTTTGGATGATTTTATTTACTACAAGAGTTTCATGGACTTTCCTACCAATACTGGCTTTGAACCACAGTCCTAAGATGTCAGCCCCCCGAGTAGCTAAGGTAACAGACATGAGCCACAGTTCCTGGCTTTGAAGTTATTTTTGAGTGACACTGAGGTGGGTGTTACATATTCCAATTCTAAGGAGCAGAGTAACGATGAAGTCCATGTACCGCCATCCTTAGAACCTTACTTTCTTTGGAGGAGCATCTGTTCAAAGCAAGGACCAATGGCATCCAACTTCTAGAAACTAAAATTTCAAAAATGGAGAGTATATGTGTATAAGACATGAGAGAAAGATTGATAGTAAGAAAGCAGAGAATTGCAAAAATTAAATTTAGCAGAGTGCACATGTAAAATGTTCTTTCATGCTAATATAATTTGCCTTAGCCCAAGTGCAGCCTATCTGCCATAACAGTCATGCATATTTTACAGTGTGATTATGATAAAACTTTAAACGCCTAATCTTTTGTTTCAATAATGTCAGTTTTAAGGATTCTCTATCTATTTCAGCATTAAAAGTATGAAAGTAAGGGCTTATCTCTTCAACAGCTTAGATCAAAGCTTTTATAGTTTCTGTTAAGGAATATTGTTAAATGTTGGTGATTCTGGAATAGAAGACTGACACCTAACATGTATTGTGATTTAGAGCAGAATTAACAGATGTATCTCTTCATACATTGTCCTTAGCAGCTCTTTTCATTATAATTTTAAGGAACTAGATTATGTAGCTCTGACTGTCCTTTCATGTTTCATATAAAGAAGTGGCAGCGGGCTGGGGGGATGGCTTAGGGAATACAGTGCTTGCCTAACATGCATGAGAACCTTGGTTTGGTCCTCGATCCCACAAAAAAAAAACAAATAAACAAAAAAACACACAAAACATCCACCAATAATATGATCAGACTTAGTGAGAACAGAAGATCCTATCCATAGTCCCTACAAGCTATATTCTAGTCTGTATTGTTTGTCCAGGAGAGCATAGCAGTTACACTACTATATTAGTCAATTGAAGAAGGAATGTTGACATGATTGCATTGTTCAGTGAATCTTTATTGACATCAGCTCTGTCTCCTTGAAGTTCAGCAGCCCACCTACCTGTCCCCTAGAAACCCCATCCCACTGGCTCTTGCCAAACATGCCTGGCACAACACCTTTCCATGGGAAGGAAGACAGACCTGAGCATTTGGGCTCTGGTTTTTAATTATGTAAACCCACACTACAAGCCTGAAACCAATTTTTCATTAACTTCTCTGTTTTTCCCAAAGAGTCATTTCTCTTTACTAAAAGTGAATATTTTCTTTTTATGTTGCCTAGTAAAGGCAATATAAATGGAAAAAGTTCATTTAGTTATTGTCAGTCTTAGGTAACTGTTAAAAAAATGGCACCTTCTTTTTTCTTTTGTGTCCTTCCCCCTCTCCTCCCTCCCCCCGCCTCTGGTTTATTCCCTGTGACCACTGTTTTTGATTTCAGTACCCTTTGTCTTATATATAAGTTAATCTGATTTGGGGCAGGGAAGGGGACACATAGAAATGGTGGTTCCAAGGGTGAACTGATGCAACAGCAATACTCACTAGACACTGTGTTGGAAATGAGCTTTACAACTTGGGGAGAGGTGAAAGGGGAGTCAGACGGGGAGGGAAAGTGGGAGAAAACAAGGAAGGGGTTAACACTGTTCAGAAAGTAATGTACTCATTACCTTACTTACATAATGTAACCCTCTGTACATCACCTTCACACACACAAAAAGATACCCATTGAAAAAAAAAGAATAAAAGCTTACCTGTATCAGATCAGACTTGTTTCCAAAAAAGAAACAAATAAATATGTGAAGGAAATAAGTTTAAAAATGGTACCTTTTCTTCCTGGGTATATGAAACTTGCATAATTTTGTGAAAGTTCTCTAAATTCTTTCTTTGCTGGTTGACTTTTTTTAGCTTAAAGATTGACTGTTCCCTCAAATGGCAATGATTGAATAACAATGGAATTCATAGTTTTCAAATTTTCACTGTTTATTTAATAATCAATGCAATTGGCTAATTAGCTATACTAAATCAGGAACAGGAAGCTATAGTTTTGTACAGATCATCTATCTTTTTTAAAATTTTATAAGGAATTTGATACATTTATGCAGTGTTGAGGCATAATATCTCATGTCTGTTACCTCCAATTCAAAGTCACTTTGTTGAGAGGACCTACCTATTGTGTGTGTGTGTGTGTGTGTACGTACGTACGTACGTACGTACATACATGCATGCTGGTACTAGAGCTTGAACTCAGGTCCTCATGTTGTAATTTGGCTTTTTCACTCAAGGTTGGCACTCTACCACTTGAACCAAAGTTCCACTTCCAGGGTTTTTGCTGGTTAATTGGAAATAAGAGTCTCTGATCATCTGGCTTTAAACCTCAGTCCTCAGATCTCAGCAACTAAGATTACAGACATGAGCCACCAGCACCTGTTTAATACCCATCTATTATTAAATATTGTTGTGAACATCAGAGCTTTGACTTAGAATTCCCATTTTACAATGCTATTATTTCAGTGATATTAATTTACTGCAAAAGCTATCAAGACTTTACACCAGTGAAATAGAATTTTGCTTGAAATATCTTTAACTTTTTTATTATTATTATAAAGGTGATGTACAGAGCGGTCATAGTTACATAAGTCAGGTAAAGAGAATATTTCTTTTTGGACAATGTCACCCCTTCCCTCTCTCTGCTTGAAGGATCTTATTAACAGACACTAGAATCAACTTTGTAATTTGTAGTTGGAAATTGGATGACATAAAAAATTTTTAAATGTAGTTCATCTTATCTAACACTGTATGTCCTCAGATACGAACATTTTTTTTCTAGGTGGGTAAATGAGATTGAGTTCTATTACTTATTTGTTTTTGTTTATTATACTTCATAAAAAAATTTTGGGTCAGAGTTCATTCTGTTGAGACCTTTCAGAGTAAGATCTTTTCACTGAATTTCTTCTCTTCCTTTACTGCATAAAAATTACATTTTATAAAGTGAGTTATTCTTGCTCCCAGTGAAACATAGATTAATATAATATTTGAACTAAAGGGCAGGTGCAGGTGGCTCGTGCCTATAATACTAACTTCTCAGGGAGCTGAGATCCAGAAAATTCAAAGCCAGTAGAAAACTCCAGGAGACTTAGTCTCCAAAATAAGTATCAAAATCTAGGCTAGAAGTGTGGCTCATGTGGTAGAATACCAGCTGAGCAAAGCCAAGCAAGCAGGAGACCCTCAGTATGATAGAAAGACAGACAGATAAGCATGAGACCCTGAGTTCAAACCCCAGTACCAGAGACAGACAGAGACTAAGATCACCCAGTTGTGTTGTGTTGTGTTGTGAAACTAGAGGTAGGGACATGAGGCTCAGAGACTTCAGTGATCTGTGTTAATCAGCCCAAGGAAGCCAGAGTAGCCACTCTCAGGCCTAATCAGTCTCCTGCTGCAATGAGAAGTTCCTGCTTGAACTTCTGATCATTTATTGCAGGTGACTGACCACCCTGGAAAACAAGAATTTTGCTCTTCTCCCTATACTCATTATGAAGTCCCTCCAACTTTCTATCGATCAGCCATGCTCCTCAAGCCCCAGCTGGGAATGGGTGCCATGTCCCGTCTACCATCTGCAAAGAGCAGAATCCTGATCGCCAGTCAGAGGTCTTCAGCCAGCGCCATCCATCCACCAGGACCCATCACAGCAGCAGCCAACCTCTATACTTCTGATCCTTCAGGTAATGACTGTGTGCTTTCCTGCATTTAAGTAGAATCATGTAAGATGTCTGTGAAGTATGAATGCCTTTCATCCCTTTGAGAAGCCTTTTCCTATTGCTCCATAGCAGTTTGTATGTTGTAATACTGGAAGCTGCCATTCTGAAAGCTACACAGACCATTATGTGAGTGAACAGAGCATCCCAACACAGCTCAGTATCGGAGATCTTCCTAGGGTATAGCACTGCCCATGTCGCCTGCTTCATCTGCTCAGGGGTCCTGAATCCCCCATATGTGTGCATATCCTGCCTCTGTGCCCTTCCCAGTTCTATGCTGCTGTTCTGGAAGGATAACCTTGGAGTGAGCTCAGGGATAACTGTGGTGACTTCCCTGGGCTCTCTGCTCCCTTTCCTCTGCTTCCACATTTTCATCCAAGCTTTTTATATTATTTTGCTATAGAAATAATACTCTTAAAAATTTGGGATGTAGACAAATATGGCACAGATAAAAGAATGGCATTCTTACAATTTTATGGGATACTTTATATTTTGTTATATTACTGATGGATTATTACAGAGTATATTTTGTTCATATTTTCATCTTTCATAAAATTTTGAATAGAGGCAGATATGAGAAATAATAATGAAAAAAATAAAAATGACAAAAGTTTCACTGTAGACATAAAGATGAAACTAATAATACTTCCAGGACTTAGCTTGTGTTATTATTGGATGCTTTCTTCTAATGTATTTTGCGTGCATTTTTCAATAGTTGAGAAAACACTGAGCATGAATCTTGCATTTTCACACTAATATTATATTGTAGGCATTTTTATGTCATAAAAATTGCTGCAGAATTATTTTTAAGGACTGAACTCAGGGCCTCTGGCTTACCAGCCAGGCACTCAACCATTTGAGCCCTCCTTTTTTCAAAATCAGTCGATTATTCTTGAGGTAAAGTATCACTTTATATTATACCTACATTGGACTGCACTCTTCCTATATGTGCTTTCTTGTGTCACTAACAGTTACAGGAATATACCACTATACTCAAGCATTGTGCTTCCCCTGTAGTTGCGATAATAGGTATCTACTAACAACACCAACCTACTGGTTGAGATGGGGTCTCCATAAACTTTTATTTTGCCCTGGCAGGATTTGAACTTCAATTTGCTGATCTATTTCCCAAGTCACTAGGATTTCAGGCTTGAGCCACTTAAAATTTTAAACTATATTTTTTATTATCTTTACGTAGTTATACAAAGGAGTTACCATTCAACGAGTCACTTCATGAATACAATGCATCTTTTTTGTTGTTGTTGTTGTTGGCCGTGGGGCTTGAACTCTGGGCCTGGGCGCTGTCCCTCAGCTCTTCAGCTCAAGGCCAGTGCTGTACCACTTGAGCTACAGCGCCACTTCCGGTTTTCTGGTGGTTTATTGGAGATAGGAGTCTCACAGTCTCTCTTGCCCGGGCTGGCTTTGAACCACTATCCTCAGATCTTAGCCTCCTGAGTAGCTAGGATTACAGGCGTGAGCCACCAGCGCCTGGCAATACAATGCATCTTAATCACCCCTTTCTTTATTCTTCCCCATCAATCTTCTGTATTTTGTAGGATATGCATTGAATGTTTATTATTTTTTGTCTATTTATGAGTTTATTCAACATGGTTTGGATGCTTATTATGCTTTAGACGTTGTGGGTTCCTTGATCTGTGAACAACTGGCGAACAGCTTTCTGCAGCTCACAATCTAATGGGTAGATATGAATTGAAAAGACATATGAAATGACAGATGTTATGGAAGCACAGAACTTCAGCTGGAGCATCATGGGTGGAATGGAGGTGAATACCTCAGGGTCATCTGTCGCTCCTGGAGAAAAGCAGGAGCAGCAGGTGGCTGTACAGAAAGGCATCAGAATTTTAAAAACCATGTTCTAACTACTGTCAATTGGCTTCTGCTTCTCCTATACTATTTGAAATAAGGATACACTTTGAATTTTTGAATATAATTATTTGCCTTCATTCATACTGTTTTTTAAGATAATTTATTTTGAAGTCAGTTTGAAAAAGATAAAAGTATATCTGTACATTGTTAAGGCCAACTAATTTTGTAGAAAATTTGTAACAATTGTTTTCATAGTAGTGGTACTTCTTTTTCCTTCTCTTCCTCCTCCTCCTCCTCTTCTTCCTCCTCCTCCTCCTTCTTTTCCTCCTCCTCTTTCTAGGTTGCATCATCTGGCTATAGTTTAAGCAGGCTCTCTCTGACTCGTTTGTTGAGAACAGTCTATAAAGGCACCAAGGAGAATGGACAGTTGGCAATGCAGGAATCCAGTGGGAGAGGGTCAGTCCCATGGACCATCCAGCAGAGTGAGCCAGCTAGAAGGTAAAGCAATAAGGAGCTCTTCCCTAGGTCTGAGAGTAATGGAGGATTACAGGGATCTTTTAGGCTTGAGCCCCTAAGAGAATGGCATGGCATACAGAGAAGGTAGTTTCAAAGGACCAGAGGAGCCCTATTAGGATATGCAGAGTTAACAGTGCTTCTGATCATCTTCCCAGGATAAATTATTGGATCTCATGACTCTGTCTTTGAGGTCAGGACCTCCAACAGGTGGATGCTATTTAAAGCTGTACTGCTTCCCTTCACAGGGCTGACATTGTTCTCCAATATGAGGTTTTACCATTAAGCTGTAAATCTCACATGCAGTTAAATTAGATACCTTTGAAATTGTATAATGTAACACATGTTGATAGTTTTATTTCATGCACAGAACATGAGAAAGAACCTTCAAATCCTTAAAAATGAAAGACAGTTGAAATTTGTCTTGTCATAGTCAAGAATTTAAGAATCTACCACTTTCACAAGTGGTAAAGACCACTAGCCACAGAGGTGAGCAGATGGAGTCTATCTGTGGCTGGCTTGTTTGCAGTTACACATTTGTGATCAGGGTGTCACTTCTTCAAAGTTTAGTCCTTGGAGGCACACATGTAAGTGCTCCCCCTGTCTCTGTAATATAGCCCCCAACCCTCCTTCCTTTCTACTGGACTTGTGGATATCTTCCTGGGTGAATCATGAATACCCTCATGGGTAATCAGTGGAGACAGGAAAGATGACAAGCATCTCTCTCCTACAGCCCATGAAAGACATTAGATCCCTTCCTGTGGCTGGCAGGCGACTCACCTGGCAGAGACTCTGCAGCAATGAGACCCTGTTCCAACTCCGGAGACCAGTGTCTCAAGGGCAATGACTACTCCTATTGTCTCTTTGTTTGGCGGATTCACTTGCCACCAGACCTGCTCTCCCTTCTAGGATGAGTGTGGAGTCCCCATGAATCCATTTCCTGCTCTGGTGATGGCCTTACTCATTCCTTTCTTTTCTTTCTGGAGAAATGCTTCTATTTTCCTTCCTGTTTTCCTCACGGATCTTCCCTTTCTCTTCTGATTCAATTTTCTTTTTATTTCACAAAAGACTTAAATGGCCTACTTCCCACAGAGAAAAAGCCCTTGCCCATAAATTAGGATTCAGATTCCTATGAATTTGAGAGCTAGGTGAGCTTAGCTTTTTAACACTATGAGCTGTAAAGGCTCCTATCTGTTTTTCATCCTTGTGCAGTAACAAAGAAAGAAAACCAAACAGTCAAGATGGAAGCAGCCTGAAGCTTACCACCTGTCAGATCTTCTATCTGCTATCTGCTATCATTGTGAAGCTTCTCCCATCTTGTTCCTTCCCTATAAGTAAAGTTCATCCAGGACCAGAATTAAAAGACCAGGGAAGAAAACGTGAGACCCATCCATATGCTTAAAAATTATTCACTGTGCACTTAACATGTGTTGTTTTCCCAGATTCCGAAAGTAAATGTAGACAGACTTAGCTACATTAAAACTTACTTCCTAGCTAGTTACCAGTAGCTCATGCCTATAAATCCTTGGTACTCAGGAGGCTGAAATCTGAAGATCCCTGTTAAAGCTAGCCCAAGAAGACAAATTCAAGAGACTCCAGTTAACCAGCAAAAAGAAAGCAGATGTGGAGGTGTGACTCAAGTGGTAGAGCTCCAGAGTGCTAAGTAAGGGCATGAGGCCTTGAGTTCAAGCCCAGTGGACCAGCACACATATAAAAGAGAGCTGACTTCCTCTCAGATCAGTAAGACACTGAGAAAAAGAGAAAATATAACAATTTAGAAATAAGAAAATAGGCCAGGAGTGATGGCTTTATGACTGTAATCCCAGCTACTCAGGAGATGGAGGATCATGGTTTAAGGTCAACCTGTCCAAAAGTTAACAGGACCCCCAACTCAGTCAGTAAGCCAGTTATCACTAGTACCTCTGAGAGAGAGAAACAGAGAGAGAGAGAGAGAGAGAGAGAGAGAGAGAGAGACAGACAGACAGACAGACAGACAGACAGACAGACAGACAGACAGACAGAGGCAGAGAGAGGTGCAGAGAGAGGCAGAGACCGAAAGAGTAATTCATTCTAGCTATCAATAGAGAAAGATACTACATGCAAACTATACCTGGAAGTAGTTTATTTTCTAATCACTCTCATTTTCTTGATTTCTCTTCAACTTTCATAACTCACTTCTCTGTAGCTTGTGTTTTTTGTTTCGTACTGGAGTTTGAACTCAAGGCCTTGACCTTGCTAAACAGGCATTCTGAAACTGAGCTATGCCTCTGGCCCATTTTTGCACTGGTTACTTTTGAGACAGGTCTTACCCCTGTTTGGTGCATGCCTGGAACATGAATCCCCCTTCCCACCATAGCAGTTGGGATTACAGATGCATGCACAGAGTCTAACTTCTTCCAGAGATGAAGTCTTGTGTGATATTCTACCTGGGCTGACCTGAAACTGCAATCTTTCTGATCTCAGCTTCCCAAGTAGCTCAGATCACAGGAGGAAGCCAGTAGCCTACAGTCTTTCTCTTAATCCCAGATTCTCAAGGAATCTCCCAGGAATAATTCTATTATCCCCAACACTCATCCCAGTCATAATCATCAGGATTTTCTCAATTCTCTTGGACAAGAACCACCTTC